CGTAGTAACTACTCTCTCTCTCTCTCTCTCTCTCTCTCTCTCTCAAGAACAGCTCTAATATCATCACGAAATTCACTCTCTCTAGATTACCATGCGCCATTGAAATCGAAAGATGGGCGGCGAATAGGGATAAATCCAAGTATGTTTTGATAGAAATCCAAGGACTCCTCCACAGATCTGCAGATAAGGGAGATATGATTCAAGGAGGTGAGGGGTAAAGGAACTTTTACTGTACCCACCATTTTTCTCCTATTCTTTTTTATGTTTTTGCAGGTTTCTCTCAAATTAATGAAGTTGCGAAGCAATGAAAAGAGAAAAAGCACAACAAAACCCTAATGCAAAAATGGGTTTCACCTGGTTTAAGGGACCAAGCAGGAAGAACAGAGTACAGAGAGAGATTTTAGAGAGAGAGATCAGAGAGAGGGATGAAACTTTCACAATGCTTTTCTTCTCGGATTACACCTGCTATTTATGAGGAAAACGGAGAAATCTATGGCCCGCCACGTTTCTCATTGTAAATGTGGCAGACGATGGTGTTATGTACAGGTCATCTGTCTTAGCGTGAAGTAGGTTGCTGACTCATAATTCGAATTCAAGATTTGATCTCTTTTTTCGTTTTGAGGAGAGAGAGATACAAAAATTACGTTGACCAGGTTGCCTCCTTAATTTCGGAGCGGCGGGAAAAATGCCTGTGATGCATTGCCGATCATTTGTTTCTCTCACTCTAGGCTCTACACTCCGGGCTCCCGGAAATTAGGGGCTGTCCACCAGGTGGCTACGGGTCGGGTCAGTCTCGGTGCTCCGACCAGGTCCAAATCACCGGACCTAGACCTGAAGTCATTGGACCCCGACCCCGACCCCGACCCCCGGACGAAACCCATAAAAAGTAATGTGGAAGCTGGACCTGGGACCAAAGCCATAAAATAATATGGGAACTGGACCTGTTCTAGACCATACCAAAATAATATAGGAACTAGACCTAACCTAGAATAGACCAAAAAAATAAGATATCTATATATTTAAATATATGTTATAAATTAAAACCAAAAATATGATATGGTATACGGATTTAGACTTGAACCCGAATACTACTCAGGTCCAAGATTTGGACCTGGACTTGATCTGTTGGGTCCAAAATTTGGACCCATACCTGGGCCGAGGTCGAGTCTACCCATTAGGCACATGTTAGGTTCGGGTCCATTGTCACCCCTAATCTAGCCTAGGCACTGCCCTATTCCTATATAGACAGCCCAGGCCTGGGACTAGCCTTATTCGCATCAGGACCTGGCCAGGCTAGATATAATCTATAAAATAAAAAATTTAAACAAAAAGAGTGCCCAACTGGACCAATCACGACCCTGGCCCAACCAACTTGACCCTCATGCTATGGTGGCCCAGCCCTCAGGCGGTATATTGCGCCTGGGCCCTAATTTTTTAGGGCTGGGCCTCGTGGCCCATTGCCACCCTTTTAACTTAAAATTCATCGTAACCATCAAAGACTCTATTGCTTTTTTTCAGTGGCCTTAGTTTCTTTGCTCTAGTGGGGCTTTGTGATCGACAATGTCTTCGACCCCGTGATCTACAT